TATATATATATATATATAATATATTTAAATATATATATTTTTTGGGGGGGGGTGCTGCATACAATGCTACTACCTATTCTTACTAGCTATGAATGAACTGATATACTGTAATATTATTATTCATGTCAAGTTGCCTAGTGTAAATACAAATATACAACATGCTGCCGTATCATAATTTATCTAATACAGTCAATTATCCAACAAAGCCCTAATTGTATTCTATTCATCCCCTCTGAAGATTATAAGAAGCCACGTTTATGCTCCCTGAGGGACTTCCCCCATCCCTTGTGGAATTCCAAATCAGTCATTCTTTTTCAACCTGTTTTCTATTCATGCAGTATGAACAGAAACATATAGTTCCATTAGTTTAACAAAAAAGTTCAAGTTATAGCTTGAGTGCGGTGTCTGACCTGGTAGGATGTGCTCTCCGCTCCATAGTGCCTCATCAATGCCGGGTCCAGGCTCCTGGTCTGCCTCAGTCCACGTTTGGAGATGGTCCTGGGGCTGATGGAGCAGGAGAAAACACTGCTCAGGAGTCCCTGAGCTGACATGTTGGTCTTAAACAATCACCAAGCCAGCAACAGCACACAAGACATGGGCTTCATCTCAGCCACAAGTCCAAACGGAGCCCGAAGAGACGATCTACCACTCATCAGCCTGCATGGGATTACGAAAGAGTCCCCCTCCTCTGCACATGCACTCACACACACACACACACACACACCCCCACAGAGTCTGACTCAGGACCTGAGGCGGAACTTTTTTCCTCCCCCCCTAAAGATTTGCAGATAAACAAAGCTCATCCGTCATTTCATCCCAATTATTTCCCCTGACAAAGTGCAATGACAAATTGCAATAGCTGGTACCAACTACACAAGTATTCCGAATGCTCCCTTGCTCTCTGTGTATTGACCACTTGTCCATATACAGTAGTGCAGCCCAGTTTTGACACTAAGTACCACCTAAAAAAAGGATCGTGAGCCACTGTAACAATATCCATGCACTTGGGACATTAACACTGCACTTAAATACAGGAGAAAATGCATCACTTCAATAATGATGCAAACGAAATGTTTTGTACAAAAAAAAAACCCAACCCTCAATATTTAAAAAAAAATTTTTTAAAGATAAAATCCAAATATTTTGAATTTAAAAGTAAATTCAAGTTTGTAAGTGTTTTTTCTCATTGAGTACCACATTGGACAGATTCAGAAGTCAAACAATTTGGAGTTTCAACACACATTTTGGAGAGGAAAAAAAATTATTCAACATGAGAATTCAGATTCTTATTCTATTGAGCATGAAAGCAAAAGCATATTAACATTAGTTAGATGCTCCGCTTTCTTTGTATCAATTTAAGAAAAAAAATGTAAATTGACCAAATTAGGACATACGAGGTTTCCGCCCAATGGTGACAATTCATTCTTTGTGTGGTGTTTTGCAATAATGACTATAAAGCCATGGGGAAAAAAATGAGACTCCCCTTGTCTCTTCAGTTTCCTGTTCATTTTAAATGTCTAGTGCAACTAAAGTTTGGTTTGTTTGGACCAATATATTAATGACAACAAAAACAGTGCATAAAAATGGAGACATTTTACATGAGTGCTCTTGAAAATAATCAAATTCACTTCACAGGTTCTTACATCAATAGCTTTAGCATTGGACTGCCAAACAGGGTGCTTTTAGGCATTCCATGTTTTCTTTTATGTAAATTAGTCATTTGATCAACTTTTAGTGGCACCAGACACTAAAATGAACAACAAATGAAATCATAATTTCACATATACAAGAGAGAGAGAGAGAGAGAGAGAGAGAGATCATCAAAATCTAATAATATTGCCCAATTTAGACATTTAACAATACGTTTTTGTTGCTTGAAGTTTGAAAAAAATATATGTCATTGGGGTAAGCACTTTAGCATATGTAGCCAGGTTTTATGGAGTATTGGTCATACATACACAATACCTCTGGAAAGGTGAATCGTTTGATCTTACTCAGAGAGCAAACTGGAAGAGTACAGTGAAATCCTAATAAATCCATGACGGGTAATACACGTACCCACTGTCAGGTTAACCCTGTTATGCCCTCACTTTCAAAGCAGACACTGTGATCTGGATACAGTTCCCCACTGTCATTTTAACGGCCTGTGACTTGACACGCTGCAGATAATAAGCTCTTGGGAACAAACGCAAGATTTGAATGACCTGATTATGACCTCTGTACTTAGATGTATCCATCCACCCTCTGCCTCGGGAGTAGTTGCCATAGCGATGCATTGGTAAATTGGAGGCTTAATTCCGCGCCATGCAAAAAAAGGGCACAGTCGACTGTGGGAAGAAATATGGTCCTGCAGTAAAGCGAAGCCACGGATCAAGACGTGCTGGCCCACTATGGGAACCTAGGGCTGTTCTCATATAAACCAGATGACTCTTCTTTTGTTCTAACGTTAGCTCAGGCGACTGAACCCTCCAGCTAGTAAGCACAAGACCATTTATTACATGCGTGCAATGCATTTCTCTGACACTTTGCCTATGAAATCCTCCTTTTAGTCACACAGCAACATGACAGTGGCATGACACATCACGTGGTATGGCCTAAATTCAAACTATGTTATTCTTTTGGAGTTCAAAAAAGACGTCCAACTTGTTCAAACAATCTTCCCATGGAAATTAAATGATTCAGTTCCAGAGTCAGTTATCAGAATCATCATCTCCCAGAACAGTACTGGCAGTCTTTTAAGTAACGTAACTTCATTTTGCATTGCGTTTGTACTCACTAAGGTCATAGGTGAGCTAGAGACTTTCCCAGCTAACTTTAACATCCAAGACTGGGCACCAACTACTCGTGGGGCACATTAATAAAAACAAGTATACACATCTTTTATATGCTTGATAAGAATGTTAAAACATTACTTTAAAATGCATTTTATATTATTTATAATGTCAGCCTCACGTTTCTGAAGTTCGGGGGTTTTCCTGTGTAGCATGTTCTCTCTGTGCTTCCCTGAGTTTTCTCCAGATACTTCACCTCACGTTCCAAGAATGTACATGTTCGGTCAATTGAAGAGACTAATTTGTCCGCGAATGTGAATGGTTTTTTTTTTTTTCTGTGTGCCCTGCTTGGCTTGCAACCAGTCCAGGTGTCTTGGCCAAAGTCATCTGGGAAAGGTTCCAACTTGAACCTAGTGAGTATAAGCGATATGGAAAACAAGTGAAAACCAAACTGTCGTTGAGGACATCTATAAGACGTTTTCTGGAGTATTCATCCATTTCATTAGGATGACGTAAGCGAGCCGACTCTGTCCCTCTTGCTGACGATTATAAGATGGTCCAGATATCTGGTTTTCATTACAAGCCTATTTATAATGTCAAGGTTCCATTGCGCAAAATAAACAGTGTTACCATGAGGACTGGCTGTTTCGAACAAACAGTCTTAAATTATATGCGCGTTACTGCCACAGCAGATTTAGCTCTAATGAAAAGAGGCGCTTGTGTCCATTGCGCTGGATTATAAATCAAAGTTTGTTGTTTAGTTTTTTTCCACCCATTTTCGTTGCGGTTTAAAAAAAAAAATACAGAGTAAGAACAAAAGTAGTGTATTATTCTGACACCGTAAT